TCCGGAATGGCCCAACCTCTGCCCAAAGGGCTCTTCAGATCCCGTAAGCTTGCTGGGCGGATCCTTCGAGTGAGTGTCGCGAGTAGAGACTACGTGCAATGACATCGGGCCCAGTGGTGGCAATGCGCGCAGCAGGTAGCCTGTCTCGTGCCAAGGGCGCTCGGTTTATTTGACCCATACTTTCTGGAACAAATCAGACGGCTCGGTGTCCTTGGGCCCAATGTGGAAGCCAAGGTTGACCCAAATCTCCACGCCTCGACCCTCTTCTCCGCTGCACGAAGAAAGAATGAACAAATCATCTGCCACTCTTGAGCCGACTGGGTTCTTGGCCTCCTGGATGGCAGCAGTGCGCGCTTGCTCGTTGCGAGCCCCCTCTGCCCCCCCCCCCCCCCCCTTCTCTCCCCGATCAAGGCGATCCGAGGCAGCTTTGGCGCTGAACCCGGCAACTCTCGGTTGCGCTTTGCACCGGGTCGCGGCTGCTTCCTTTTGTTCCAGGAGTGGCTTCTCGCGCGTCTGAAGCCCTCACCTGGCGACTCGGCGCCGCGATACCTTCGCCTCTTACTAGAGCAAGGAGATCAGACCACGTGTCAGGGCTGGCTTCGCGCGGCCACTTCCGCCCTCTAGCCGTCGAGAACCTGGGCGCCGAAACTCACCCTTCCGAGAATTGAGCGGGGGCAGCGCCCCCGCGGTGGGTTTCGCGCGCAACCCGGTCAACGAGGGAATTCCAGGGGCGCCCCGCGCGGCTTTGCACGCGCGCGTGCCACCTTGAATTTGGAGCGCGCTCTGACAACCGCTCCAAGGGGCCAAGCCGCCCCGGCCAGCAAATCCGACCGAGGCGGCGAGGTGGCCCCGTTTAAGGCGCTGGCGGCGTCGGGCGGCTCAGCGCCAACAGACGCCGCCTCGAACTCAGGGCGGAGAGAGCAGCGACATCAGATGCCAAATTATAACAACATATTATGGATCCATGCGTCCGAAGTCGGTGGATCGCGTTTAGGCGAGGCTAGGAATGTTCCAAATTACATCTCACTCCATCGGCCTGCGCGCGCTAGCCCTGTAGCCTGGGGGCGCGAGAGTCAGCGCCCGAGCGTCTGTCTCGTTCGCCCCGTGCCTGAGCGAGGCCTCAGAAAACCTGGGCCTCGGCCCAGCTGCCGTCTCTGGCAGGGCACAATTCGAGGGGAAGCTGAGCCTCCGAAGGCAACTCACTCGGATCTTCTACGAAGTGGCCCAGCAAGGGCGCTCCTTGATCCGGGGCGATCTGACGACGGACTTGGCCGGGAGGAATATGCACATTACCTTGGCGGCCTCAGATGATCCATACGAGTCCCCTTTGCAGGCTCCATTGGGCTCGGCGTGATTCCCCTGGGTTTGACCCAGAGGACGCAATGCGGCGGCGTCGGCAGAAGTATGTAGCGCGGGGGAGGCCGGCCCTCTGGGCCCTCTGACTGACCTGCCGCGTCAACAAGGACAAGAAGGGAACGGTGGCCAAGCAGGAGAGCGACTGCCCAAGCGAACGGAGCTTGGGTGGCCGAGCGCGCCTTGCCTGAAAATACTGGCTGTCAAATCTCGGCGCGGGCTGGCGCCCGGCAATGCGTTGGCGCGAAAAGAAAGACAGGCCCCCGCCCGTGTCGTCGGGCGTTCGACGTAGGTGGCCATGGCGAATACATCGCGTAGGAATAATTCAGAGCTGCTGCTGGCGCTTGGATCGGGTCAGAATTCCGCTTCGCGCCGGTTGCCCGCGCTCCTTCCAGGGCGCGGCCAGTGGCGCCGAGCAGCGAAATTCGGGAGGAAAGGCCTCTGATTCGAAGAATCAAGGCCCCCGAGGTCTTCGATGCCCCCAGGGCGCCCCTGGGCCTGGCCCCCAGGTCGACCCCGCGCCTCCTGGTCTGGAAGCTCGCTCCGCTAGTGCGAAGTCGCCGCTTCGACTGGAGCGAGCCGGCATGGCGCAAGTGGGCGGCGCCCTTGCCCAAAACCAAACTAGCTTGAAGACTTGGCCTTGCTCCCCCCCTTGCTCGTCAGCGCCCTTTCTGGGGTGGGGAGGGGGGCCCGCTGGGCCTCGGAGTTCTGGCGGGGCCGCTTAGTTGGCGACCCCGCAGAGAAACTGGAAAGCTGCGGGCGCTCGATGAACTCTCGAGGCCGCGCCCCTAGGCGTCGAGGGGCCCTCTGGCGCGTTGGAACACGCGGCACTGGCGAGGCGAGTCTGGCGTCGACGCTGCCACCCCCTGCTCCGCCCATGCCCGGGCGCGGTCGCGCGCGGGGCTCCGTCGCTCCGCCCCCCCTCAAAAAAAAAAAAAACAGAATCTGCCGCGTGGGTGCCTGGCGCCCGTTGCCTCTGCTACTACTCGACTTAGCAATCAAATCCGTCAACCTTTCAGCGACCGCGGCCCCCCCTGCGTCTGGGGCGGCGCCTCGCAGGTTTGGCGGCTGATCCAGCTCCGCGGATGCCCGCGAGACGCATCGTCCGGATGTCCCAGCCCCTTGGCATGAAAACTCGGCCTCGGAGCTCGATGGACGCAGCTAGATATTATTCTGTCTGACAGAATAACCCCGCCCTGAATTTCAGACACACTGCGGCGCGCGCCCATCTGGAACTCGGGCGCGCCCAGGCGGGGCGAGGGAGGGGCCCGTGAAACCTGGGCACGTAGCAAGGGGGGGGGGGGGGGGGGGCGAGGGCGGCGGGGGGAAGGCGCGCCCGAGGCATTAAGTGGCGGCCCCCGCCCACCGCCGCGGCCTGCCAGGAGCCGCGGCATCCTGAGCGCTTGGCTTGGGGGGCTCGCGAGGAGAGCTGGGCACCTGGTCGCTTCTATTGACTGGCAGGCTTCGCCCCGGTGCTGCGCGAGCTGCTGCGAGCTGTTCGCGTTTGGATCTGGGCGGCAGTGAGCTGAGATGCAGAGGCGGCAGCCAAATCGAACATCGACGCTGCCGCGCGCGAATCTGCCGGGCCCGCCGCAAAGACGCCCTCCTGACCAAGGTCTCCGAGCCGAAAAGACTGAGTCGGAAAGGCCCCTGAGAAGGCGCGCGGCGCCTGGGCCAGTTCTGCCCGGGAATGCTGCGGCACCTCTTCCATTGTCGCACCCGCGTCTTCGGCCGCATTCAACTCCTGTCGAAATTCAACTCCCATCGAAATTCATCTCTTGTCGAACTTCAACTCTCGCCATCTTTGGTCCAAGCGTCGGATGAAGTCCCAGCTGTATCGGCTGGGTCGGCGTGGCCGGAGATGGCCGGGCCGGGGTAGGCGTCGGCGACCGCCCCGGCGCGGGCGACTTCGACCCTCTCCCGTGCTGGAGGCGGCGTGGACTCCATGGCCGCGGCCTTGAATGCCTGCGCCAAATGGTTCGTCGTCGGTGTCGGTTGAATCTGAGCTGTCACTCTGGGCTCTCGCGTTGGCGAGCATCCCGCTGTCGGCGAAGAGCCCGGTCCCTCCCTGGGCGCTGTCCCAGATGTACCCACTGGTAATGGAAGGCCGGACATTGCCAGGGTGGGAAGCCCTAGCGCTAATATCGACGCACTTCCTGTTGCTGGTGACCCTCCTGATGTGCCGCCCGCGCTCGCACCGGCAACGCGCGCCCTCATGACCAACAGTGACCAACCAACCGGCCCAGAGCGCGAAGGGCATCATTTTGCTGCTTGGTTGTGGTGAGCATTCTCTGCCTCATGTCCGTCCTGGTCGAAAGCAGGCCGCCCACCCTCTGCGTCTCGTTGCTGGCTAGCTGCGCTGGCGGAAGCGGTGGCGGCGCCGTGCGGCCATGCGTTGCCGTTCCCAAGGGCACTCTGTGACTGGCTGGCGGTGACAACGCTTCTCCCATTGAGCATGCCAAAATTGAGAAACAAACCTTGGGACCCTGCCATTCATCATCCGCCATGGGGCCGTCCTCGTCCTCGTCCATCTCGTATTGTTCCAGCGTTTTGAACTCCATGATGTGGGATTGAGCGTGTTCCAACGTACGAGCGGCATCTCTTCCTTCATCCGCTATCGGGCAGTTTTTGCACGACGCATCTTGCAATCGTCGCATATATGATCATTCCTTGCGCGCAACTGTCGGCCTCTCCGCCGTTGCTCGTGAAGCCAATGCGCCGATATTGAAATCATCCCTCGCTTCCAAGTCGTTTGTCCTGCCATGGCTGTATATAGGACATAGGACAAGTCGGCACGGGTGATCAGCATGATGCGTGATATGAATACCGTGAGCTATCTCTGCCTCACTGGGTCATATTCAGTTACAATCCTTTTTGCGTGGATTCCTGGCAGAACCTGGCCTTGGCCTGGACTCGTTCCTGGCCCTCGTTCCCTTGTCTGCTGTTTTCCATCATGTGCACATCCTTTGCGGTGATTGTCGTCAACAATGGAAACAGCACAAGCTTTTCCAATGATGTCCATCGGCGTCTCTCTGGCAATGGATGCAATTCCACAAATTTTCTGGTCACGGTACTGCCGTGCGTCTGCTGTTGGTGTGTGTGTGTGTGTTCCACTTTGAACGAAAAGTGTTAACCGAGAGTGTTGGTTGCCGCTGCTAATATCAGGAAGAGTCTCGCTTTGGCTCTGACTTGCCTTCCTCCTGTGCCACTTCGGCTCAGGCTGGCTTCCCTTGCCACTCGTGATGTGAGGTGTGCGAGGAAGGATGCGAAGGACATGTTGACTGTGAGACTGAAAAAACTCCCAGCAACATGCACGCCTGAGGCCAAAACGGCACGTGGACAGCAAAACCAAACTGCGGCGTCGACGGCTTCCAGGCTTTGGAACTCAAATGGTCTTTTCCTCCTCCTCCTTCCTCCTCCTCCTCCCTCCTCCCTCCTCCTCCTCCTCCTCCTCCTCCTCCTCCTCCTCCTCCTCCCCCCCGTCCCTCCTGTATCGTCCTCTCATCCTCTTCCTCGCTCCTGCTCGCTCGAGGAGCGGGGGGCAAGTCGAGGCGGAGCAGAGGCGGGCGCCGCGGGCCCTAGCCCGGCCGTGGCCCGCGGCGGCTGCCGTGGCCCCTCGCAGCGCCGGCGAGCTGGGCCTGGGCGCCTCACCTCCTCCTCCTGGAGCGGGAGCGGGAGCGGCCACGGCGGTCCTTGGCTGCTCCTCCTCCCCTCTCCGCCGCGCTCTCCTCCTGACCTCTGCCCTCTCCACCTCCTTCCACCTTTTCCTCCTCTCCCCCTTCTCGTCGTCCTACTCGCCCTCCCTTGCCCTTCTCCTCCTCCTCCTCCTCGCCTCCTCCTCCTCCTCCTCATTATCTCCTCCGCCTCCCCCTCCTCCTCCTGATATCCTCCTCCTCCTCCTGCTCTTCCTCTCCTCCTCCTCCCCTTCCTTCCTCCTCCTCCTCCTCTCCTCCTCCTCCTCCTCTCATCCCTTCCCTTGTTTGTCCTCGTCCTCCTAAGTGCTCCTCCTCATCCTCCTCCTCCTCCTCCTCCTCCTCCTCCTCCTCCTCCTCCTCCAATCCTTTTATGTATCTGTATATACAATATGAAAAAAGAAATTATCTCATTTGACTACTACCCTGTAGCGCCCCTTCACGAGGTAGAAACCTGTTGGACGGAATATACTTGTTGGGGCGTCATGCTGTCACCTTCTAGGCGTGCCGCCTCCTGTCAATTATGTATGTCTTGACTGTATCGCTCTATGTTTTTGTTCATATCTCATGTGTCCTATCAACCCATATTTCGCCTCCTCATGCGGCTCTTGGTTTTTCTTTCCCCTCCATTCCGCTGTCTACTCTGGGCTCAACATTCTACTCCTACATGCCACCCTCCGGTTCTCCCACATAGTCCTGCATGATGGGCCATGGACCTCCTAGAAATTCCGGGGGCCTCCTGGGACCTCCTGAGGCCTCATGGGTCTCCTTTGGCCTCCTGGGGCCTCCTGCGAACTGCCGCGTCTTCCTGCGGCTTCTTGGGATCTCTAGGGGTCTCCCGGGGCGTCCTAGGCCCTCTGGGGGCGTCCTTGGCATTCTGGGACCTCCTGGGTCGTTCAGGATTCTCCCAGGGCCTCCTGGGATCTCCTGGGGCGTCGTGGGACCTCGCGGGGCAGCCTGAGACCTTCTGGAGCGCCCTGGGGCCTCCTGCGGTGTCCGCCTCGCCGGGGCGTCCTGCAATCTTCCGGCGTTTCCCGGGGCCTCCTGGGGCGTCCTGGGGCCTTCCAGGGCTTCCTGGGGCCTCCTGAGGCGTCTGGGGGCCTCCTGGCGCCGCCTCGAGACTCGGGCCTCCCGGGGCTTCCTGGAGCTCGACCTTTTACCATTGGACATCACGCGCGTCATGTCGCTGGGTGGGTGGGTGGGTTCGCCGGCACACAACATGCACACGTCCGCGCTTGGCCAGTCAAGCGGCTGCAACCCGTATCATGATGCAGCAACGTATCCGGGAGGACCCAGCGGGCCCTCCCGGAGCCTCACGGAAGCTCGGGTGGCCTTCTGGGGGCGCGTGGGGTCGCCTGCGGGGCCTCCTGCAGCCTCCCGGGAGCTGTCCAGGGCCCCTGCCTCTATGGGGAGGTCCCACAGGCCACCCGCGAGCGCCACCCGGCAGAGTCCGCTCCAGGGTGCGGTGCTCCACGCTGCAGTGCGATGTGGCGTCCCCTGGCCATCCTGCTCCTCCTCCTCCTCCTCCTCCCTCCTCCTCCTTTCCTCCTTTCCTCCTCATCCTCTCCTCCTCCCTCCTCCTCCTCCTCCTCCTCCTCCTCCTCTGGATCATGGCTGGGAACCTTCCCGTTGCGAACGAGGGCGCGGTGAAAGTCTTAAGAGTGACGACAGCGTCACACTTGAGGCACGGAACCGTGCCGAGCGTCCAGCGGCGCGAACCCTCAGTACGGTGTGATTTGCTAGGAGGATCCTCGTTGTTCCGCTCTCGCTGGTGAGAAACACTTCCCCCCCATCTCGACGGTGACGGAGGGCAGGCGGCGGGGGTGGGCGGGTTGCCAGGGTCACGGGGGGGCTGGTTGGGCTGGTTGGCTGAAGAGTTTGCTGGGTGGCGGGGTGGCTGGTTGGGCTGGCTATCTGGTTGGCTGGGTTGGGTTGGCAAGAGTGGCTGGTTGGGCTGGTTGGCTCACGGTTGGGCTGGGTGGCGGGATGGCTGATAGGGCTTGTTGGCTGGGGGCGGGCGGGTTGGCGGGGTGACAGGGTGGCTGGTTGGGCGGGTTTGCTGACGGGTTGGCTTGGTGGCTGGCTGGGCTGGCTGGCTGGTCGGATGGGTTGGGTTGGCAGGTTGAGCTGGCTAGGGCCATTGGTTTCGACTCTTCTTTTCCCCTAGACTGCGCGCCGAAAGTGTCCCGCCCTCTACGCGTATGTTGTACACGGAGGCATTCAACAATTGGCACAGGAGGACACAGAGCAGGAGGACGAGGAGGAGGAGGACGAGGAGGAGGACAAGGAGGAGGAGGAAGGAGGAGGAGGAGGAGGGAGGAGGAGGAGGAAGGAGGAGGAGGAGGAGCTGCAGCGTGCGCCTGTTTCAGGATTGGCGCGTTGCTCCCGTCGTTCGGAATGGCGCTCTCGCGCCAACGCGGGCTCTTCTGGGTCCGAGTTGCTCCTCATCGTTGGCTCCCCGCTCCTTTCTTGTCCTCCGCCTTCCCTGGTCCTCCTGCTCCTCCGGCTCTTCTTCTTCTTCTTATTCTTATTATTCTTCTTATTCTTATTCTTATTCTTATTATTCTTCTTCTTCTTATTATTATTATTATTATTATTAGTATTATTATTATCATTAGTATTATTATTATCATTATTTATTAATATTATTTTTTATTATTATCATTATTATTATTATTCCTCCTGCAGCTGTTCCTGGCGCACGCTCCGAGTCCCAAGATCCGCACATGAAGTCCTCCCTCTTCCTCCTGCCCATCATCCAACTCATTCGCCACATCCTCATCCCTCCTCCTCCTCCTCCTGCTCCTCCGTTTCCACTGTACGCAGCTCCCTTTTTCTGGTTGCGCATGACGCGATGCTGTGCGTTTGGGCGTTCCAGGTCCGCTAGGGCACCCGTTGGCGGATAGAGACTAATTCGGCGCACTGGGAAAGGATGAGAAGGAAAGATAGGAGGTCAGATGTGGCTCGAGCGCAGAGCCGGCTTGTCCTACCCCCTCGCCTCCCGCCCCTCCTCCCATCCCCCTCCCACCCCTCGCCCTCTTCCTCGTCCTCCACCTCGTCATTCCCTTCGTCGTCCTCCTCCTCCTCCTCCTCCTCCTCCTGCTTCTCCTCCTCCTGGGACGCGAGCGGTCAACGAAGAGCAGGACAAGGAGGCAGGGCAGCGGCGGTCCTTCTCCTTGGTGTCCCGCTTGCTGCTCCTGTCCCTCTTGCCGCTCCTGCTCCGGTCCCTCTTCCTGTCCTTCTCCTTGTCGTCCCGCTTGGACTCCTTGCCCCTGTCGGCGTCCTTGGCCTTCGACTCCTTGGCCTTCTCCTTCTCCTTCTCCTTCTCCTTCTCCTTCTCCTTCTCCTTCGCCTCCTTCTTGTCCGCGTCCTTGTCGCCGCCCTTCTTCCTCTCCGGCTCCTTCTCCCCCTTGCCGTCGGCCTTCTTGGCCGGCGCCTTCTCTGGGGCCTTCTTCGACTCCTCCCTCTTCGGCTTGCCCTTGTCCTTGGCCGGCGTGCGGTCCTCCTGCGGGGAGGGCGCCGGCCACCCACGCAGCACGCAGCCCCTGCGGGGGCCAATCCCCCCAGCCTCCCGGCCCAGCCAGGCAGGCGCACACCTGGACATCAGACGACGCCGCCGATTTTTGTTTCTTTTGTTTTTGCAGCGCGCGGCCCCCCGAGCTCCTCCGGACCCTTCCCAGGGGGCGATGGGGGCTCTTCGCCCTGGATCCATGTCTGATGGCCCTGGGCCCGACTCGGGAGCGGCCACGAGGGGGGGGTCCAAGAGGGGGGGGGGGGCCAATCATGACCGGCGGCATTTTGCGCGCGGCCCCCATGGGGGGGGGGGGCAAAGGGAAAGGGGAGGGCGTTGATGCCATAAGAGGAGGCGCCAGAAAGCTGGGGGATGCATCATGGCCCGCGCCAGGAGATCCCCCCCCCTGGTCATCCCCCCCCCCCTCCTTTCCGCCCCCGACCAGACGCCGTCGGCAAGGAACAGCGCCGGGATTGAATCATGTTTTCCTCTCCACAGCGACATGACACCACAGAGGAGGAAAAAGGCGCGTCTCCAATGCAACCTCCTTGTTGCACCGTACCGAGCACTCCATGCCCCTGGACCCCTTTGAAAGGGGTCGTCGGAGCTCCGGGCTTCGGGGCCGCAGCTCGAGGCTCGGGCGGCCGCGCAGGGCGATGCTCGGGCCCCCCCCCCGCGGCGCCCTCGGCGAGGCGCGCCTGCTGGAGAGGGCCCCCCCAGGGGTCCTCTCGGGGAACAGGGGCGGCTGGGTGATCGAAAATGTAGTGGGGGAGGAAGAGGATGAGGAAAACGAGGAGGAGGAGGAGGAGGAGGAGGGGGAGGAGGAAGGGGAGGGGGAGGGGCTGGAGAGCAGCCAGGAGCCCCACGGAAACGCCCGAGCAGCCAAAGGCTGCGTCATCTGTTGGCGATGCGCGCCTGATCCCCGGGGCTCTGCCCTCTCTTGGCCTCGACGTGGGGCCCCGCCTTCTTTTACCCTTCCTCTGTGAATGAAAGCTGTGCGCGGCCCGCTCAGCTTCGACCGGAAGAGGCTCGCTCTCGACCCGCGAATCCAAAAAACTAGCGATGCGCGCACGGGGGCGGCGTCAGTGGGGCGGCCTTCTGAAAAGGCGGGGGAGCTTCTAAGATGGCAGGGGGGCTTCTCGGTAATGAGCCCTCCTGGCTTCTGAGAACCCCTCTTAGAAGCACCCAGGCGCTTATAAGAAGGACCCTACCATCTAAGAAGTCCTCCCACCTTTGGAGAAGCCCCCCCCCTCCCCTCGCGCCACCCCCTGTGTCATCTGCGGGGGAAACCACAGGTACCGATGTCGCTACTCTCCGGCTCTCTCCCAGAGCGCGTTCTGACCAGGACTCCGAGGCGAATCCAGCCATGGCGACGAGGGCCTCCAGAAGAGGCCCCCCGAAAGCGAAAATGAAGGAAGGGTAGCGTCATTGAGGGGAGCGAAGAATGACATGAACATCACGCGGACTTGTCGGATCGGCGCTGGACCCCCCTCTCTGGCGCGCGGAGCGCGCCAGGGGCAGAGAAGGAGGCGCTGCCAAGGGTCTGGCGCGGATGCGAGAAATCCGCGCGGAACTCCGAGTTTATATGCTCATGTTATTCTTCTCGCCATCGCTCGGACGTCAATTCCCTGTGTTGTTTTTCGGTTTCGTGCGTGGCTTTTCCGCCAAATGATCAAGGATGCTCCTCGATGATCCGCGCCGAAGGAAAAATGCACACGTCCGAGCGATGCCAAGTCTGCGCTCCCCTAATATTGATACCTTCTCCTCCCTCGACTCTGGCCCCTCAGCTGGCCGCCCGCCCCCGGTCCTTGTCCTTCCGGCCGCCGCGCTCCTCGAGGAAGGCCGCCTGGCTCCCCGCCGCGGCCGCTACGCCCCCGATCTTCTCCGGCTTGCGGAAGGAGGAGGTGATGCCCTACAGGGCGGCGAAATCCAGCTCGGACCCGAATGACATAAACATAAACGATTTAGGGTTTTTCACATATACATGGCGAAACCCGTAACCCTAATTCCTCGTTCCCTGTGGGAACGAAGAATTACATAAACATACAAACTCGGAGGTCCGCGCGGACTTCTCGGATCCGCGCTGGCCCCCCCCGCCCTGACGCGCGGAGCGCCAGGGGCGGTGCCGCAATCCGCGGACCTCCGAGCTGGCATGTTTCTGTCATTATTCGTTCTCCAAAAACCAGATCTCCATTTGTTCAATCCCGGCGTGTTTCGTAGGCTTCGGCCTCCGGGGCACGTTATCGGGCCACTGGTACCATGCACCAAAAGCGGATCCAGGCACGGTGAATAGCTGACCCTGGGGAAAGGGTCGGGACATCTGCGGCGGCGCATTGAAACATCATGTCGGCGGATGTCAGGTTTGACAGGCTCGGAAGTTGTTGGGAGGTATCCGCATCCTCAAAAGCCGCCAGGGGCTTCTCGTCGCCACAGGTGGACCCGACATTCTGGTCGGAACACATGCGAGGCGGGGATATGTCCATATCCACCGCCTAGGGAACCGACGTTTTGGGACCCGCACTGGCGGTGGATATGGATACATGTTGGCCCACGGGGGCCAAGGTATACCCATATTCACCGCCCGTGGAAGTCCGCGAACCTCGATCCTCCAGGCGGTGGCTATGGATAAATTCCCGCCGCGGAGCGCATCTCGGAACAGGACCGGGGGTCGGGCCTCGAGCGCGAGACCCAGTCCTCCTATCGTCGTGAAGCACTACCCACAAGGGTTGGAGGAGGAGGAGGAGGAGGAGGAGGAGGAGAGGAGGAGGAGGAGGAGGGGAGGGAGGAGGAGGGGAGGAGGAGGAGGGAGGGAGGAGGAGGAGGCGGAGGAGGAGGAGGAGGAGGAGGAGGAGGAGGAGGAGGAGGAGGAGGGGGGAGGAGGGGGGGAGGAGGGGAGGGAGGAGGGAGGATGGGAGGGAGGAGGAGGGAGGAGGAGGAGGAGGAGGAGGAGGAGGAGGTGGGAGGAGGAAGATGAGGAGGAGGAGGGGAGGAGGAGGAGGAGGAGGAGGAGGAGGGGGGAGGAGGAGGAGGAAAAAACTGTCGGTCTCGGGAAGCCGTTTCCACGAACTCAGAATTTCCGGCCCCTGGGGAGTGGTCGACGCCCTCTGGGGGCGAGGTCACGAAACGTCGGAGGAGATGACTCTCTCCTCATGTTCTGGCATGTCTTGGCCTCCCGGAGCCTCCGTTGTGCACCGGCACCGGGGCCTTCCAGACACGACTCGGAACAAAAAGTCGGCCCTGCGGAGGAGGGCCAGACATGCAAGGTCCTCGTTGCGAAAAAACACGGCGTGAAATTCTGAGGACTCCCCCCGATTGTGGAAGATGGGGGGTCTTTTTGTTTCGCCTCTGGAGGCCTCCACTTTTGGTAGGTGGATCTCTCAAGCTCTCCGCCGCCTCTGGCGGTGTGCGTTGCGAGCAGGAACACAGCAAAGCCACAGGAACGCCGCACAGCAAAGGGTCTTTTTGTTTGGCCTCTGGAGGCCTCCAGGAGGGGACCTCGAGACCTCCGAGAGGCCTCCGGCGGATCTCTGGGCACTGGAGGAGGGAGCGGGGGAAAGGCGGAGAGCAGAGGCTGAGCAAACACCGGCGCAACGATCGCGCAGAACGACGGGGATCAGCAGCAGCAGAGGCAGCAGCAGGACGAGGACGAGGAGGAGGAGGAGGAGGAGGACGGCGGCGAGGATGACGAGGGCGAGGCGGACAAAGGGGAGGACGAACAAGAGATCGAGGAGGTAGAGGTGGCGCGAGTCCTTGATGCTGACGACGGTCTTGAGCTGGTACTTGCCCTCCTCGTTCCGTGGTTGGTTGCCCATCTTCTGTGGTAAAGTCCACGGGTAGATCCAGGAACAACCACGCATAACTACCCGCCAGAGGCCAACAAGAACAGCACAACAAAGTCCAGCCACCAGCTGGCGTTGAATCGCATGTGTTGCTTGCACGGGGGGGTCCGTTTGGTTGCCCTTGGGACCCCCCTAACCCTTACGGTGGACAACCCACCACGGTCCTCATGCTCGTCGCTATTCGGCCGTCCGCCCCCTAGATCCTACCCGTTGACCTCTCTCTCCTCTCCTTTATCTCCTCTCCTCTCTCCTCTCCTTTGCTCTCTTCTCCTCTCCTTCTCCTCCTCCTCATCCTCTTCCTCCTCCTCCTCAACCATTCCTCTCTGGCAGTGGGGTCCGAGTATTTGGCAGCCATCTTAGGGAGTGGCGCTGCTGCCAAAGAGCCTTGAAATAATATGGAACCCCAACTCATCAGCTGCAGCGTGGGGACTAGGCCACACCGTGTACGCGACCGTTTGATGGCATCCTCTTCCACGGCCTTGTTTTCAGCCCTCTCTTCCGTTCCTTCGCCCCCTCATCAGGAGAGCTCCGTACCGTTCACCCTCCCAACTCCGGACGGCCACCGGGGACCGCCTCCCCTTCACGCACACCCATCCGAAATGACGTACGAAGCGGAGCCCAACGTCAACAGCTGCCACAACAGCCCTGACCAGGCAACACCAGCGCCGAAAAACGAACCACGCGTCATCAACTACCAGGCGGGGATGGGTGCAGGGTTAAACACATATTCTTCGAGGGTCCTGAAAATGTTGGGCCTTTCTTGAACATATGAAAGATGCGCGGGGGAGGGGAGGGCTCGTGGGGAGGGGGAGGGCTTCCAGCGGCGAGGAGGGGAGGGAGGAGGGCTTCCAGCGGCGAGGAGTGCCCGTGGGGACTTCTGATGAGGGGGTCTGGGACGGGAGAGGCTCTCGCGGATGCGCCCTGGGTTTGCTTCGGTCGTGCTCCGCTTTCTGCTCGGCGGCGAGTGGCGCGGCATCCCCGCAGTGAAGTCTGCGAAAGCCGTAGGGCACGGAAGGGAGAGAGAGAGAGAGAGAGAGAGAGAGCGAGAGCGAGCGAGAGCGAGAGCGAGCGAGAGCGAGAGAGAGAGAGAGAGAGCGAGAGCGATCGAAGAGGGAGCCCCCGCGTGCGCTCTCGGAGGGAGGTTGGGTGGCGAAGGGAAGCAGCCTCGAGAGGGTGTATACCCCAGAGGCGGCCTCCCCCGAGCCACGCCCACGCATCGGACCAATCGGTCGTATTCGTCTCTCTGTCGCAACCGCAGGCGCGGATCCTCACAACACACCGCAGCACGCGTAGCGCGCTCTCGCGCAGCCGCCCGATGAATGAAGAGAGGCAGTGCTACTGCTGAACACTTCCCTCTCGCCTCATCCTCCTCCTCCTCCTCCTCCTCCTCCTCCTCCTCAGTCCCCCTCCTCCGTCCTCCTCCGTCCTCCGCCGTCCTCCTCCTCCTCCTCCTCCTCCTCTCCTCCCTCCTTCCCCCTCCCCCCCTCTCCTCCTCCTCCTTCCTTCCTCCTCCTCCTCCTCCTCCTCCTCCTCCTCCTCCTCCTCCTCCTCTTACTACTACCTTCTACTACCTCCTCATAACAGGCGAACAGCTGCATGAGCGTAAATTCTTGGATCTTGGAGGTCCGCACGGATTCCTAGGGTCAGCGCTGGACCATGTCCCTGGCGCTGCGGAGCGCTCCAAGGGCGGCGACGGAGGTGCGGCAAAGGGGAAGCCCAACACCGATCCGATAAATCCGCGCGGGCGATCTGATTTGTATGGTTCCATCCGCGGCTCCCCAAAGTCCCGACTCCTTCCCCGGGTCCCTAGGGGCAAGATGTCGCCCCAGACCCGTGTTAGATGGCCGGGTCCGGTGACGGGCCCCGGAGGCTGAAATAAAAGCGGACCGGATCGGAAACACTGTCCTGGTCAAGGACCCCACCAAAGGCAGTCACGGGTGCCGTCGTTGTGAGCATCGCCTTCTGTGGAGCTCCCTAAGGGTCCACGAAGCGAGTGAGGGGTGTGCCGGCATGAGTGGGGCGGCCGCATGCGAACATGGCCACCAGGGCGTTCGGTAGAGCTCACCATGGAGGCGCGAACCGTGTGATGGGTGTGCCAGAATGGGCGGGGGGGCCGCATGCAGACAGGGCCACTGGGGCCTTCGGTGGAGCTCCCTTTGGCCACGAAGCGCGTGAGGGTTGTGCAGAAGTCAGTGGGGCGGCCGCGTGTACACAGGGCCACTGGGGCCTTCGGTGGGGCTCCCGTGGGGCCACGAAGCGCGCGAGGGGCGTGCCGAAATGAGTGGGAGCATGGCCAGTAAAGCCTTCGGTGGAGCTCCCTATATGGAGCCACGAGGCGCGCGAGGGGCGTGCCGACGTGAGTGGGGCGGCCGCATGTGGACGTGGCCACTGGGGCCTTCGGTGCAGCCCCCCCTAGGGGGCCACGCTGCGCGTGAGCGGTGTGCCGAGGCGGACACATTTTTGATCTGCGGGGCGAGAGCGAACCTCTTCCGATAGATGCTAAGCGGGCCGCGCACAGCATTGATTAGAGAGGGAGGGCAGAAGAAGGCGGGGCCTCACGTCAAGGCCGAGAGAGGGCGAAGCCCCGGGACCAGGCGGCGCCGCC